TGAATATTGACTATATTATTTTTAAAAAAGGGAAAGAAAAGAGACTATAGCTGTCATGCCTAACAGATTGCCCTGTTGATGCTCCTGCCAACTTCTGAGAGAAGAAATATTTCCATTCTGTTCCAATTTTCAACATAAGTAAATAAGGAAGTAATATGGCTGATTTCCGTTGTGGTGGCTCAATATTAAGTTGGCTGAGGAAACTGCTGTTTGCAGAAATAATTCTGAGATAACACAAACGGGAAAAGCACTGATGCCCAGATGGTATTTTTTTCACTCCAATTATATTGGAATATTAATGATTCATTCTCCATAATTAAATGTGTTCCAGGACAGTGGTCCCCAACCTTTTTGGCACCGGGAACTGGTTTCATGGAAGATAATTTTTCTATGGACTGGGGGTGGGGGTTGGGGACGCAGAGCTCAGGCGGTGATGCAAGTGACTGGGAGTGGCTGTAAATACAAATGTAAATACAAAATACAGAGGAAGTTTTGTTTGCTCAACAGCTGCTCATCTCCTGCTGTGTGGCCAGTTTCCTAACACCAGTCTGTGGCCCAGGGGTTGGGGACCAGAGCTCTAGGCTATATTTACAGCTCATCCATTCTTCTCTGCCTGCACTGTCACACTTGGAAAATGGAGTTCCTACACCTGGCACAGAAATTGACAAAGTGGCATTCTGAATTGGCAAGGGGGAGAAAAATCAAATGAAGAGCAGATTGTTAGCATTACTCTATCCTTTGCAAAGAACAAACATAAAGTTATTCTGCTTATACTCAAGCATTATTATAAGGATCTGTAACATAAAAAAGTTAGCAATATGCAAACAGAAATCACTATTTTGAGGGCCATTTACTTAAAAGCTTCTAATTAAATTAGCTCTTATGCTCGCAGTAGTTTCTTGGAGCCATCACACACCTCATAACTGGCATTTGGTTGGCCTTAGCTCCCACTTTAACATATTTTCTGGCATACTGAGAAACATCTTCTATATTTATCTTTATTGGAGCTTTGCTTTAAACCCAGGAGTATTTTAGTTACACCTGCAACTTTTATTCTTTTGCCATAAGCATTTGCTGAATAGCAACTGGATGCGAATGACAAAAACACTGATTAATCAGGCTTAGATTTATGATCTCCCCACCTCATTTTTTTCCTTCTATAGTTTGAAACATCCCCCAGTATCTTAAACTCAGTATAACTAAAAAAGAACTCCTCACTCTCACCCACAGACTCACTTGTCCGGCATATGCATAGCTTGAATGATAGCCACACAGTTTTTCCAGTTTTGCAATATCAAAATTATAGGATTATCACGGTTTGATGGTTAGAAGCATAGGCTCTGGAGGTAGAGTGCCTGTTCCTACCCCTGGGTGAACCTGTGGGCTTGCCAAGCCTTAGTTTTCACACCTATTGGATAAGGTTATTAACAGTAACCACTTCATGGGGTAGCTGTAAGGATCAGATGAACTAATGTGGGTAAATTATAAATACATGTTACTGTTATTATTCCACCATGTAGATATTCTTTAATTAAGTCCTATTGTCCCTAGGTCATAGTCCTTTTTATCTCTTCTGGGTATCACACTATCTTAATTTCTAAATGGGTATCTTTAACTCCAATCTTATCCCTTTGATATATCCAAACACTGCCCCTCTAAGAATTGGTCCTAAAGATAAATCCAAGCCAGTTAAGGCAATTTAAAAATCTATTGGTGATTTTCCACTGCCCATGAGATAAACTTAAAATTCCAGGCTGGCATCCACAATTCTCCAAGAATAGATTCAGGTGGTAGAACAGAAGTCATAAGAAGAAGCCCAGCAGTGTCTGTAGGTATAATAAACTGCTTGCTGAGGGAATGAATGGATTTAGAAGTCAAGTCTGGTTTTAGCTGTACCTCTATCACTAACTAGCTATGATGTACTCTAGTGGTCCTAGTTTCCTCATTTGGAGGCTGATTATCATTATCATTCCTTTCTTTGCTTAAATCATATAATCTTCTCAGCTTTCCTGCCATGGCACAAAGCCTCAATTATGCTTGTTTCATTCTAAGTAACTTTTCACCTTAAAGTTCTGGTTCTAGTTGTTCCTTCCACTTAAAACTTTCTGCCCCTGTCCCCATCAATATTTTCCTGTGGAAATTCTACCCTCTACCATCTTTATAATATCCAACTCTAATTTCACTTTATTCAAGAAACTCTCTCACCTAAACTCTCACCCTACCCTCTTAATTTCAGATGAATTTCTTTTGCTGTGTCAGTACCCTAGCACAGCGGTCCCCAACCTTTCTGGCACTATTTTCCATAGGTGGGGAGGTGGAACTCAGGCAGGCAAGCAATGATGCTGATGCCAAGGGAGTGATGGGGGAAAGCTTCCCTCTTCACTCACTGCTCACCTCCTGCTTTGCAGCATGGTTTCAGTGAAGACACTTTTTCCAGGAATGGGGGAGGGGGGAGAAGCTCAGGCAGTGTGATCCGTACTGGTTTCTAACAGGCCACCGACCCAAACAGTACCTTGCTGTCCAGGGGTTGGGGACCGCAGCCTTACCACACTGAGAATACTCTATCAGAAGACTCAGCACAGTTTCCCTTTTACAAGTTAGCCATCTGTTCAAAGGACTGACTGTAAACTTATGAATAACAGTCTAAAACCTTCTCAGTAATTGGCATAGAGGCCTGTGGCAAGTGCTCAGACACTCATCAAGAAAGGTGTCTACTACAAAATTCTTATTAACTTTCTAGAGTCTCAGGCTCTGGAAACTGTTAATGGAGAGATTGAAGATAAGGAAACACATATATTTTGATTTTATTAGGCAGAACACTCTAGAGTGGAGAATTTTAACTGGTCAAATTATACAGGTTTTCTCAAAAAGTGATTTTTAGACCACTTTACATCAAACTAATCTGCAGTGCTTATTAAAGAGGCAGATTCTGGCTCCACTCAGACTTACTGACTTGGCAACTCTAAGGGAAAAGCCTGGACACCTACATATTTAATGTGCATAATTTTACTGATTTACAAATCAAGCCCATATTTCTTGATTGTCATGACAGTACTGTAATTCAGTGATTCTAAAAGTGTGGTACAGGGACTCTGGGGTGTCCCTGAGACTTTTCCAAAACTATTTTCATAGTACTACTAGGAAATTTGCCTTTTCTACTCCCATTCTCACACAATATGGTGCAATTTTCTAAAGGCTACATGATGAGAATGATATTGTAAAGAATGAATGCATGAGATATGAGAATCCAGCTGTCTTCTATTAAGCTATACATTAAACAGATTTGTAAAAATGTAAAACAATGCCATTTTCAATAATTTTTTATGTGTTTTGGAAAATATTCTTTACAAAAATGCTAGTTATGTTAACATAATGAATTTATTACTATTTTAAAATGAATTAATAAGTCCTTTGAAAATTCTGTTTTGATTTCTAAAATGGCAAATATTGATAGATATTACCCATATAAACAAAAACTCTTAAGTCCTCAATAAATATTAAAAGTGGAAAAGGATTCCAAGACCAAAGTGTGAGAACTGTTGCTGTGATTATCAACAGCATATTTAAATTAAGATTAAGACACACGTGTTAATTGGCTTATCAAGATTCCATACTTAAGCTTCAAATTCTATGCATTTTCCATTACAACAGAAAATCACTGAAAATTACCAACTTTATACTTATACAGGTGTTATTTGTTTTTTAAAATAGGCATTTTTATTAACAAGCTCTGAGGTGTGATACACCTAAATTTAAAGAACCACCAACTGTAGAATAGGAAAATAACCGAAAGATTTTAGAAAGTGACAATTATTATATCTGGACATTAGGATGATAATTCTGAAGGCATTAAATGGAGTTGGAAGGCCTGAGTTCTTAAAGGGCCAAGTTCCTTCACCTTTCTGGGATTCAGTTTTACAATAAGTTTGTCTTTAATGCCTTTCTGGCTCTGTCAGTTTGAGTTTCATGCATTTCCACTGCTTAAAGGCAACAGAAGGGATGCATCTTTCTGATGAATCAGGAGCAATCTTAAAGTCATAAATGAGAGCATGTTACTCATCTGCTTAGAAACCTTCAAACATTTTCCACTGAGTTCCAAATAAAAATCAAACTCCTTGTCCTGACTCACAGGCCTTAAAAGATTTGGTGCTTAAGTCCCTGGTTTCATCTCCTTCTATTTTCATCTTGCCTCTTTTGCTCCAGCCACGGTGGCGTTTTATCTTTTTCTTGACCTTGCTAAGTTTGTTCCCACTATACATACTGTCTTTGCACTTGCTATTCTCTCTGCCTGGAATGCTCTACTCCAGATCTTCGTAAGGCTTATCACTTCCTCACTTCTTTCCCCCACGTTATCCTGTCCAAATTTCTTTACAGCGCTTACTACCATGTTAGATAATACTGTTTGTTTACTCGTTTATAGTCTGCTTCGACCACTAGAATGTCAGCTACTTGAGAGAAGGGCCCTTGTCTGCTCATTCACCGATGTGTCTCCGGCGCCCACGGTAGTGCCTGGCAGGTATTTGGCACTCGGTAAATGTTCGAGGACCGCGAAGTCCCGTACCCCGGCCAGGCCTTCAAAACGGTGGCGGCTATCCTCGCCTCCTTCACTTCCGATCGCAACCCGCGCCTCGGCGCCCCCGAACCTTCCTCACTGCGACCCCCACCAAACCCTCACTCACCCGACTGGCAACGACCTCCTTCCGGCTCGAGCTACTGCTTGACCCGGAAGTTTTCTCAGGCAGGCGAGCCGGCCTCCGCGCTGAGGGAGTACTTCCGGGGCAGCAGGAGCGGCGAGTCGGCTGCTGTGGCTGTGGTGAGGGTGGCGGCCGGCTAGGTACGGGGCTTCCTGGGACAAGGCAGGCGGGGTGCGAGACCTGTCCGGCAGCGGAGGTCGTCTGGGAGAGGGAGGAGGCGGCCTGACAGTGGGCGGCGGACACCTCACAGCAGGGTTCCAGGGCAGCGAAAGCGCTTTGGTTATTGAAGCGCTCCGTGCGTGTGAGGAATTCGCGTGGTTTTCCGCGTCAGAGAACTTAGGAGCGCTTGGTGTACACCCGAGCTCCCGTTTGGGACCTGTTTTTGGATGTGGGAAGACGTGAGGGCGCACGTTTGTTCACCTAGAGGCAGCATATTAATAACGATCGCAGGCTACAAACCACCAGCACTACAAGTAGTAAAAGCAGATGTTAACCTGTGAGCGGTTACCTGCTGATTCCTGCTCCACGCCCCTCACATATATCGCATTATTGAATCTTTATAGTCCAGTTTGACAGATGAGAAAACTGAAACGCGATAGGTGAACTGACCTTCCCCTACACTCGCTGCAGGACAGGAAGAAGATCTGACTCCAGAGCCTCTGCTCTTAGCTACTAAGCTGTACCGCTGTCCAGTTTGGTAAATGAGGGGAGGTATTTATGTGTGTGTTAAGTGTATGCATTGTTATTTCTTAAAAATTATGGCTCAGCCATTTAGTTTTACTTTTGATGGTCCTGTTATTAGTCTTTCTCTTCCAGTTATGAAAATACCACGCGCTACAGAATAGCTGGAAAACTTATAAAAACATTAAACAGTGTAATTCCACGTACATGGTATTTATTTCTCTCCCCTTTTTTTGCCTTCCTGCTAGATTATGAATCCATTGAAAACAGGGATGGTACAACCATTCTAATAACTGTAGTGGGTGGTAATGATAATATAAACAGCCATTACCACAAAAATTCTCTTCCAGCTTAGCTCAAATGTCTAACGTATCTTAGATGCTCATTAAATCTTTGAATCTTTGTTTCATTTGTTGCACAAGTGAGGTAATTAGTGTTTAATATTTTAAACACTAGTTTAAAATATTCATAGCTAATATGTCCTTTCACTTTTATAGAGTTATGTAAAATTATATGAATTATATTTATGTATCATGTATTTTTCATGTATATTTATGTATCATACTACATGTAGTATGCTATATATATTTGTGATGGTGGCGATGATGATGCTGTGTTGTAACCTGGAGAGGGCATAAGGAAAAGGCAGTGAAAAAATATTTATTTATATACACAAAACATTAATTGAACTTTGTACAAGAACTGTCTAGTATTTCTGAATAGGCCCTTGGCGTGAGTGGGGCAGAAATTGTGTCTTACATTAGTTGTCTATCTCCAGAAGTACTAGGTACCTTTGTGTACATAGTAGGTACTCAAAAAATGTTTGCAAGTGTGTAAATGAATACTTCTAAGTTGGTTTCTTTGTGGATTTTTTTTCTTTCTGTGTTTTGGGAATGTATAATGTATGTACATCATACACCCATATGCTCCATGGTGTTGTCTTAATCTATATTCCTAGCCTCAGGCCTCCCCATCATTCTTCTCTCTGCCATATTAACTACTGGTAACTGTCCGTATTCTATACTGTCACACCTCAGGCCTTTGAGCTGTCCTATGTATTGTTTCCTTACCCTTAAACTCTCTCATTGGCATATTTATCTGTCAAAATCCTAAGAACCTTTTAAGGCAGGTGTTGCAAACTCAAATGGCTACTCGGGTTAATCAGGTAACATTAATGAGTGAAGTGGATTTGGGTGGAGATTTTAGAGAACTAGAGAGCACTGCCCCTTCTAAAAGGGCCTAGTAACTGTTTGTTATGAACTAGTTGTTACCAAGTTGAATGTGGGCCCAGCATTGCCAGATCTTTCAATTTTTACAAGAGAGAAGTTAGAAAACTAGAGTTTTATATGAGTCTGTTTTTTAAATGTTAGCAATTAATTAAAAAAAAATCTTAAACACTGTACAGGCCAAATAAAAACATGTGTAGGTGGGATTTGGCACCCAAATTCCCAGTTTGTGACCCCTGCTCTAGGCTTATTTCAGATACTTTGTTCATGAATTATATTCTCTGATGATTCTAATGGACTTTTTCCTTTCTTTTGTTTTAGCATTTTGTGTGTACTTCAGTTTTAGTGCTGCATCCGGTCAGCCTTAGTGGTTAATATGTCTCTCTTTTCTAATATATTATAAACATTTTGATGGCATGGATTAGGTCTAACTCTGCTCTTAGTTCATATTAGTATAAAAATATGTTTATACATACCTAAGATATATGTGTGTATGTATGTGTGAAGTACATTTATTTCTCCTCTAATGATAATTTAGTTATCCTGGAAACTAGTATCTGTTTTTTACAGAAACACCAATTGTATCTTGGTTTTAATTGCCAAAGAGCTCTGCTTCAGAAGGACTTAAGTTGGGTTACATTGATATTGAAAAGTTGATCTGACATAAATCCTATCTGATGTCTTAAATTTTATAATGTCTCTGGAAAAATTGAGGTAGGAATGACTAATAACTAATAAATTTTTGAGGACAATCAATAAAGGCAAAGATTGATAAATTAGACCTCATTGAAATGAAAAACTTTTGCTTTGTGAAAGATTCTATGAAGACAAAAGATAAGCTATAGACTGGGATAAAATATTTGCAAACCACATATTCCACAGAGAACTTGAATCTATAATAGAATATTTAAAGAGAGGCAGCTGTGGTGGTGTGTGCCTTTAATCCCAGCTACTTGGGAGGCTGAGGTGGGAGAATTGCTTGACCCCAGGTGTTTGAGTCTGTACATGAGCTATGATTGCCCTTGTGACTAGTCACTGCACTCCAGTCTGGGTAACATAGCTAGAACCCATCTCAATATAAAAACTCAACAGTAAAAAAAAAAAAAAAAATCTCATTAGAAAATGGACAAAAGATACAAAGATATTTCACTGAAGAAAATATACAGATAGCAAATAAGCATGTGAAAAGATGTTCAACATCATTAGCTGTTAGAGAAATGCACCTTAAAGCCACATTGAGATTCTACCATGCTGCTATCAGAATGGTGCAGATAAACAGTGACAACACCAAATGCTGGTGGGAATGCAGAGAAACTTGATCATTTATATATACATTGCTGGTGGGAATGTAAAATGATATAGCTACTCTGGAAAAGAATATGGCAGTTTCTTATGAAACTAAACTGTACTTACCATATGACCCAGTGATTGTACTCTGGGTCATTTATTCCAGAGAAATGAAAGCTTATGTTCCCACAAAAACCTGTATTTGAACTTTTGTAGTAGTTATATTCAGTCCCAAACTTGAAACAGCCCAGATATCCTTCAGTGGGTATATAGATAAACAAATTTTGATATATCTGTACCATGGAATGTTACTCAGAAATAAAAAGGAAGGAACTGTTGATGCACACAACTTAAATGGATCTCAAGGGACTTATGCTGAGTTTAAAAAGTCAATCTCAAAAGGTAACATACCACATCATTCCATTTATATAATAGTGGCTATGACTAAAAAAGGAAAGCACAGGAGGTCCTGATTGAACTGTTCTATATATTGGTTGCAATGATGGTCACACAAATCTATACATGTGATAAAATTTTATAGAACTAGATACACACAAATGAGTACATGTAGCACTACACTAGTGAAATCTTAATAAGATTGGTGGCTTGCATCAATGTCAGTTTCCTGGTTGTGATATTATACTATAGTTATGCTACTTGTTACCATTGGGAGAAACTGGTAAAAGTATGGGATCTCTGTATTATTCTTTATACTTGCATGTGACTGTATGATCCCAAACTAAAAAATGTAAACAAATGACTTATACCAAAAGTCTATATATAATTTTTTTCTTGGGCTTTTATTTTACCAGGCAATGTTCTAATCATGTCAGATAAAGATGATTCTGAGACTCCAGTGCTAACTGAAGCAGTCCCCATCCTTGAAGATGGAAACTGTGAGCCAGCCAAGAATTCTGAGTCTGTTGACCAAAATGCCAAGCCAGAGAGTAAATCAGAACCCATAGCTTCCACTCGGAAAAGACCAGAGGCCAAACCTTCCAGTGACCTTGAGACTTCAGAAGTTCTCCCTGTTCCAGTATCTCAGGCTCCAGGCAAAGTACGGTATCTATTAAAATATTGGGATTCAAAAATATTGGTGTTAAAAGGAATTTGGAGTTAATTTAAGATTGCAATTTATTTCTTTCTCTTTACAACAACAAAATACAATTTTCTCAGTTCTCTAAATGTCTTTATGAGTAGTGTGAGCCTTTGCTATGTGGTGCTTACATGCTGATAACATGCATCTTCAGTCAAGCAATACATTTCCTTAAGCAAATAATATTTATTTGTTTACCCATACTTTGGTCTAATAATTAGGTACCTTATCTATACATTCTGATTCTCCTCTAATTTTTCCATTTTCTTTTTTTTCTTTTGCTTTTCTGCTTACTGGGAAATTAGGAGACTGTTTCCAAAGATGTACCCCAGACCGGATGGGGATATTGGGGCAGTTGGGGCAAGTCCTTACTGTCATCAGCCTCAGCCACGGTAGCCACAGTAGGTAAGATCATCAGTCATTTAGTTATGTTTTGTGTGTATTTTGCTACAGATATGTGTTACAAATGACATTATTAATAATTCTTCTGTGTTTATTCAGAGGCTTTATAGTTCGAGTGTGTGTTAGGAAGGATAAACTGATCTATACTTCCACTAGAGTTTGCAGCAATTTTTCATTAGAAGATTGAAGTCTAGGAATTATCAGTGTAAACCTATTCTTTGGTGATGATGAATCAATTTTTATTTTTTAAATAAGGAGATAGTCCCAAGGATTAGTTATGTATTGTCAAAATAACATGTCTTCTGGCTATAAATGCTTCAGAATATCTGCAAGTTTGATTTTTGGTTTGTTTCTTCAGTTTGATGACTAATAGCAAAAAAGGTTATAATTTTTCTTATTATAGGGCAAGGTATTTCAACCGTCATTGAGAAGGCAGAGACTTCTCTTGGAATCCCTAGTCCCAGTGAAGTTTCTACTGAACAGTATGCAGCAGGTCAGTATATGGAAACATCAAGATCTACAATTATGGATTGAAATGGAATAGTTGAGCTCATTTTTCAGTAGCTATTTATCAAATATCTCATACTCAGGGCTTCATGGGACTGTAGTAAGAAAGAGCATTTGGAATCTAGCTGCTAGTTGGAAGTTTGTGTCTTTTAACCATGCATGTGTCTCTTTACTTCACTTTCTGTATCTGTAAAATGGGACAATATTTTATATCTTGAATAAGGCCATGAATATAGAATGTATGATAAAAATTGCTTAGCATTTTGTTTGGCATAATTGAGTAAGAGACTAATTAACTGAATTTGAATCTCTTGTGGCACAAAAAATATTTTGATGTGTTAGCTTTGGAGGTGTATTTTTTTGTGTTCATGTTTTTATGAAGGTATTCTGAAGGCTTGTCTTGATTAAACAGAAACCTACTCTCATGTAAACCATAAAGGCTAGGATTATAACCAGAGATCAAGAAGACTTGGGACAGGAAAATAGAAAGCTTTTCAGGTCTTAGTTTGCTTTCTTCATCTCTAAGGGGCTTTACTGTCTCTCACTCTTGATTCTCTATGCTGAGCTGTATCATTCTTGTTTTCTTGAAGCTGATTGACTTTCTCTGCTTATCTTCCCCAGCTACAGCTTTATAAGTGCCCATCAAAGACTAATAGATATCAGTTATCCACTTCTGAATTCCTAGGAGGGAGAAGTAGGTTGACATGGGTCCATGGGTCGATTATGGCCAGAAGTCAAGATCATGTTTAAACATGGCAGCAATGGACTATGTATGTGAATTGGAGGCAGTGTTCTTAGTGATGCTTGTATCAGACTACTTTGACTGAAAATTATAGAATATATGACTAAAAGTGAATTTATTTTTCTCACTTAAAAACACTAGGAAGTAGGCTGTTCCAGAGTTAGTTTAGTGGCTCAATGATGTGAGGGTTCTGGGTTGGCTTCTCTACAGTTTTCTTTGCTGGTTTCTTTATAGTTGCCAGATAAATACTGCAGCCCCAAGTATAGTGTTCTAAAACAATTATCCTGAAAGTCAGGAATTAAGTAGTTGGGGAAGTGTCATTTCTCCTTATGGATCTCTCTTTAAAGAGAGGAAAGTTTTTTTTCAGCAGTCCCCAGCATATTTCTTCTCTAGCTGCTATATCATGAACAGGATCTCATGTTCTTGATGTAGCAGCTAGAGATGCTGGGTGAGTGTGTTTTGGGCATCAGAGACTTCCAGATCAGGAAATGGGTTTAGCAGGCAAGGAAAAAGGGGACTAGAAGAGGCTTTGAATATGTAAACAGCATCATCTTCATAACACCTAAAAGATGTCTACCACACAGGGCCATGTTTTAAGAAGGGCATTGAAAAACTGCAGTAATCCTGAAAAGAGTGAGCTAGCTAGTGAAATATCTAGAACTAAAATCTTATAAGAGAAAGTTGAAGCCATCATGGATATTGAATCTGGAAATCTGGGGAAGGGAGATTGGGAGAATATACTGGTTCTTATAACTGAAAACTAGCATGGAGAAGAGGACTTAGGTTTAATATTTGTGACTCATGGGGAAAGAACTAGTACCACTCAGTGAAAGTTATATGGACTTACATTTTAGTTTAATAAAGAGTTTAACGATGAGAACTTTCCAGAATTAGAATGAACTGCTTTTTGATGATAAGCCCCTCCCATCTTCTAAAGTTCCTGAGGTGGGGGGTTAATTCCTCTGTCAAAGATACGTCTTGGAGATGTGTCTTATAACCAAGATGTGTCTGTTCAGAATTTTGAGGTAAGCAGACGCCCCTGATGGAAATCATTTGATTATCTTCTAGGGATTTTGTTATCCTCCTTTAAAGGGTGCTATGTTCTGCCTTCCTTTTGTTGGCAGGCATTTAAGGTATATGTAGCTTAGACTGATTCTTGTAAGCCTTGTTTTTAAGCTGGTTCAGGGTGAATGTATCAGGGTTGGGGAACCTGCGGTATTCTGATTTCAAGATTGCTCTTTTTTAAGTACCAAAGGAGGCAAGAAAAGCTTCATCTTTCTCTGCTGCACCCATTTTAATAAGATAATTTGTTCTGTAAAATTTGGATTCAGTCAAAAGGCTACACCTAAGGACCTAGAAGGCCACATGTGGCCTTAAGGCTGCAGGTTCCTTGCCTTACCTGCATGGTAAGTACTAGTTTATCTCTACTACTAAGGCCTGACTCTTCTCAGGTTTCTACCTAATTTCCAGGTGTTTAATGAAGTCTCTTTGCTTTGGTTGGTTGAAAGTCAAATGTCTTTCAACCTCACATGAGCTCTGGGGATTGTTAAGCTTATGGATCCATGGTAGTTCTTGGCCCAAACTTGTAGTCTCCCAGTGCCTGAGCAGTGTTGTATTTAGGCACAGATAAAAGGGCATGCTTGTGTAAGTTCTTAGAACTTTTTAACCTATGTAACTTTCTTCTCTCCAGTTTTCTGACCTACAAATTCCAGCTGGACTCCAGTTTCTGTTTCTCCCACTCATTGTGGTTGCCGTGCTCTGCTTGAGTTTCCCCTCCCTGTGTCATGGTCTAGAAACCTCTTCCGGACAGAATGTTAAGCCAGTTGTAGGGTTCATTTTGTTTTTCTTCTCCTGTGGACCAAAGTCTTGTACTGCCTGTTGTCTGACATCTGAAGACAGTTGTTTCTTACATACTGTCCAGTTTTTTAGTTGCTGTGGTAGGGGCACAAGTCCATCCAGTACCAGTCAGTCCATAATGGCTAGAAGCAGAAGACCTCCCTATAATATTTGCTATAATATAGTTAGATTATTTGATATAATAGTTGTTCTCCTATGAGATATTTTAAAACTTAATAGAATAAATTATTTTTTGAAATACATCCATCTTTGTAATGTATGTCTGCTTGATATCTGCTAATAAGCATAATTTCCTAGGATAAAATTTAAAATGGATTGGATTTTTTTTTTTTTCCAAGACAGAGGTCTTGCTCTATTGCCCAGGCTGGAGCACAGTAGTCCCATCATAGCTCACTGTAATCTTAAATTTCTGGGCTCAAGTGATCCTCCTCCTTCAGCCTCCTGAGTAGCTGGAAGTACAGCTTATGCTGTATGATCATAGTACATTATGATTATGCAGGTATAGAATATTTCCTACCTGTATATAGACAACTGAGAAATATGGATATTTTCATTACCCCAACAAAGTTCCCTCATGCCCATTTGTAGTCATTCCATTCTACCTACTCTACTCTTGTCAATCACTGATTTGTTTTCTGATCTTATGGTTTTACCTTGTCCAGAAGATCATACGGTATATAGTCTGTTATTGTATAAATCAACAGTTTGTTTAAAAGACTGAATTTTACTTTTAAAATGATATGAAAAAGAAAAAAAGCTATCTAACTTAGCTTTCATTTTAAAATAAGCAAATGGTTTAAAATAATAAAAAAGGGGGGCTAAGGCCTTATGTTTTGAAGCTGGGTCTAATTTTTAAAAATTCACATAGATGCTAATAAGGCAAAACAATGGACCTTTCCGTCATGTTGACATATCCCTTCCTTCTTGTAGGAGAGATAAATACCAAAGACAATGAAAACTCCTCCCCCATGGCTGGGCCATTTGGTGTATTCTCAACCATCTCTACTGCAGTTCAGAGTACAGTGAGTAAAAAATGCAAGGTGGCCTGCTCCCTCCATTATTATAATTAATGGGTTTGTTTATCTTTCTCCCTCTTTTCTTTGAAGAGCCATGGGAACTGATTACTCTTAAGGAAGCTCAGATCACTGAAGATCAGTCACTTTGAGCTAAGGGTTAGACTGAGAGCTGCTTGAAAACTTTCTTTAAATCAATAAAGAAGAGAATAGAGGTGAAGAGTTACAGGGAGGCAGTATACATATGGATTAGGAGTTCTTAGTTTGATGGCTCTACAAGATGTCTCTGCTTTACAAAAATATTTTTCTCATAATTGTATCTTTTAGGCAAAGTGGAAATATGATCTTTGTGATAGATACTTGTAAAACTATAGATGATTAGAAACATTCTTAAAAGGATTATATAGGAAGCTTAATATTTCCTAATGAGGATAGATAGCTAATATTTTTTTTTACTTTAACTTTTTATTAAAATATAACATCCATATGTAAAAATGAAATCATAAGTGTCCACTTTGAATTTTCATAGTGTGAACACACCTAGACTAAGAAACAACATTACAGTACATCAGATGCTCCCCACTTGTGTCTTCTCCCAGTCTTCTGTATCTCTCCCTCTCTTCCACTGAGATAATCACAGTTCTGACTTCTATGATCATAGATTAATTTTACCTGCTTTGAAGCTTTGTATAAATGGACTTAAGCAGTATGTACTCTTTTGTATCTGGCTTCTTTCCCACAACATTATGTTTGTACAGTTTATCCATGGTGCAGTTTGTGTGATGGATTCAATTTCTTTGCTGTATTTCATTGTGAGGCTGTGTCACATTTTATTTATTCATTCCACAGTTGGGATGAGCATTGGGGAGCATTGGGGATTGTTTCCAGTTTATAGCTATTACAAATAGTGCTGCTATGAACATTTTTGTACATGTTTTCTGATGAACCTCTGTATACATTTCTGTTGGACATATAACCATTAGTGGAATTGCTGGGTCATGCAGCTGTAGTAGATATTGGCAGTTTTCCAAAGTGGTTATACCTATTTACATTCCTACAAGCAGTATATGATTGTTTCAGTTATTCCACATTCTTGACAATGCCTGGTATTATTAGCTTAGCCACTACTTTTATGTGATAAAAACATGCAGATATGTTTTCTCAATATTGTTGTAATGAGGTTGCATATGTTTTCCAGGGAAAAAGTGTTATCAGTGGGGGTTTGGATGCCTTAGAGTTCATTGGAAAAAAGACAATGGATGTAATAGCAGAAGGGGATCCTGGATTTAAAAGAACCAAGGGTCTGATGAACCGGAATTCTACATTGTCTCAGGTACTGATTGTTTTACCTGTTTACTTCCTATTTCTGTTCTGATTGTTTTTTTTGCCTATGTTAACTTGAGATGTTGTTAAGTGTTTTTTTTAACGAATTTTCAGTGATTTTTTTTTTTTTGATTAAAGCTTTTTGTGGGGGTTGGGAGCAGTGTGGTGAGAGCACTAATGCTTAGAAAGAATGCCCAGCTCTCTTTTTCCTCCTCTTCCCATTCAGCAGCAGCATCCTGTCAGTGCACTACAAAATGCTAAACCCTGCCAGAGTTGTTTATTAGATTAATGTTTAAACCACTTTCAGAGAAATACCTGGTTCTTTGAGTGTTATTTACACTGGCTAGGATCAAATTATGTGTGATCATTTTTTTCCTGCAGCTCCTGAGCCTATCAGATTTGAGTTGCAATGCCAGGAATGAAAGAGTAGTTCTCTGTAATGTAACCTGTCTCAGCTTTGCTTTCTTCAGTTCTCAAAACTCACCCTTGAGCTCTCATTATTAGCTGCAGTATAATGCCTCCATCTCTTTTTAGGTTTTACGAGAGGCGAAGGAGAAAGAAGAGTTACGGACCTCCGATGAGGTTACCATGGAAACAGAGAAGAAAACTCATTATGGGCTACTCTTTGATGAATTTCAAGGGCTTTCACATCTAGAAGCTCTGGAGATGCTTTCCCGAGAAAGTGAAATAAAGGTAATCCCAAACCAAAATATCAGCTGAGAAAAGTCTTCAAGCAAAAGAATGCTGCATAATTTTTTTTCTGTTTGTGCAGTTGGGAGATAAAATGTACTTCAGATGGAGGCTTGAGAGACTCTCTGGATACACCACTCTGAAACAAACAATAAAAACTAATGTTTGATTGAACTAATTGCAGAAAATAGAATGAGCCAAATGTTATTTCTTTGAATTTAAACAAAAAAGTACAGATTAACAAAGAGTGTTTTAATAGCACATCTGTTATTTTTCTTCACCTTATTCCTTTTTTTTTTTTTTTTAATTTCTTTGGCTTAAGCTGCCAATTTGTATAGAGTTACCTGTTAGCTTTTAATTGACTCAAGTTTATTTCATTTTTCCCTGATTTCTAAGCCATTGTTAAACTCTAATAATTTCCAGACATTTCTGGCCTGTATTATTTTTGGAAGTAGAAATTCTCCCAATAACTAGCCTCTTATGTTAAGATTCTTAAGGAATAGCTTATCAGCTGGTGAGCTCATAATTTTTACTTAAATTTGATCTGTAGTCTCTTTTCCATTTGAGAATGTTTTTCTTGTTTTTCATACTTTTTATTATCCATTTAGGTGAAATCTATCCTTAATTCTTTGAGTGGAGAAGAATTAGAGACTCTAAAACTTGAATTACAGCAACTCAAAGAAGCATTTTCCCTAGCAGAGTTTTGTGAAGAAGAGGAAGAAGAGAAAATAGGTAATATAAAGATTTAGTATCTGAGTGGAGAGGATATGATGTTCTTAAGTAGTGCATTACCCTTGAAATAAATTTGCTCTCTAATTGCACTATCCTTATTTTCCCTTTTTCAGTGAGAAATTCTATGCAAAGTTCTCTGCATCCTTGCCCCTGACTAGGCATTGATGGGTACAGTTGGCCTTATGCCTATGCCTCCTCACCTCCTCCTGGTCAAACTCTTTGTAGCCTCTCCAAGTCATATTTTTCAACTCAAATCTCTGCCTATTTTTGCAGTTGGAGACTTGTTCTTGTCAAATTCTTGCCTCAGTTTCACTGGTCATCTTTATAAGCTTTTATATTCCTAGATACTTTACTCATGCTTCTCTGACTCCTGTGACCCCTGACTCCATCTTGAATTGAGGCATGCAGAGTGGCAGTTATCCAAAATGTGGGTGATAGTTTGTCTTTTTCATTTTCAAAAGTTCTTTTATCCCATATTTTAACATCTGCATCCCTCAGAAAATGGAAATATAGAAACTATTTTTGCAAAGTTATCAAGAAATGAAGTGGCTTACATATAAAGTATAATTTCTGGGCAACTGACTCTTAAGCTCTAAAGGTTGTTTTATTTTAACACTTTGGTTGGAAACATTTCTAAGATATATTATACACTAACAATTTAAAAAGTAGAATCCAACAATGCAGTTTTGCCTTTTCCTGATGAAACGATCAGTTACAAACATTAAAAGTAAATAGAAAAATTCCCTCAGGTTCCATCAAGACGTAGGGCCAATCACCCATGTGGTAGATTAAATCAGTGGCCAACAAAGTGTGGTCTGCAGATCCTTGAATCCCCAAGACCCCAAGACCCCAAAACCCCAAGGGAGTTTGTGAGTCAAAATTCTACGTAATATTACCAAGATATTATGTACTTTAAAAAAATTATTTAAGTGATTATGAGTTTTTTTACTATTTTGATATTTGTACCAGTTTCATTTAACCTTGTCCTTGATGAAGCAGTAAAAATTATTAATTTTATTACTTCTTAACCCTTGAGTATACATCTTTTAAATATTCTGTGTGATACATACTGAAATATGATGGTTCAAGGAAAACACTTATATTATTTGAATTGTGATTTGAACTACTTTTTTTTGTGGAACACCATTTTCACTTTAAATGATAATAGCTTTACATAGACTATTCAGAAGAGGATACTTGATACACATTTTCTTGAAAATCAATAAAGTGAGCCTTCAAGGAAAGCAACCAAGTGTATTTGTGACTCATGATATAAATTAAAACTAAGTGAAAGTTAGAATTTATAAAACATATTTGTTACTGTGGTGAGCTTGACAGCTTCCCAGTGCTTATAGACTCTTAATGAAATCAGTGGTGGTAGTAACAAATACAATCATTTTTGGATATTTTACAATGAAATATGTCAGCGTTTAGAAGATCTGTTTAACTCAGAGAACCAGTATTTTCCAAATGACTAATGCATGGTGTTATCAAATCATGCATAAGTAGAAGATAGACTAAGGAATTTTAATTTAATGTAACTGAATACAAAATTTTATGATATGGTTTCAGGTTCATTGCAATATAGTTCCTTGCATCTAACCTTTAAGAAATGACCCCTTGTTGAGTTTTGGCATAGCATTAAACAATATCTATAATTATTCGAAAACACCATTAAATTACTTCTTCCCTTTCTAACTGTGTATCTTTCTAGGGTTGGATTTTCTTCATATACTTAAAACAATGTATCACAACAGACTGAATGTAAAAGTAGATAAGAAAATGTAGCTATCTTCTATTATAGATATCTTCTATCTTCTATCTATGGAGGAGGGGGAGAAGGAGTACTGTAAAGGAGGGGAGGGGGAGGGGGATGTCTTCTATCTATAGATATAGATATCTTCTATTTAATGTTTATAGAGGGGGAGGAGGAGGGGAAGGGTGCTGTCTTCTATCTATACATATAGATATCTTCCATTTACTGTCTATATACATTAAAGAGACAATGATATTGTTCTTGCTAACATTTTTCTATTTTGGAAAATATAGTTATTTTTTCTTAGAAAGTATGTTAGTAACTAGTAGGTTTATTCTTAATAAATAAAAAATACTTTAAACATTAGTTTTAATATTTAAATAATAAGTATTAATCATGTTTTTTATGTATATATAAAACTTACATTTAAAAAACTCTTTGGGGTTCCCAAAAAGTTTTAGAAGTATGGTGAAGTCCTGAGATCCAAATGTTTGAGAACTGCTAGATTAAATTATCTTAAACTACAATGCTTTTAAAAATGTCTCTGATTGCTTTTTAGAATTATGCATTTTTATTTCCTTCTGTGCATTTATCTGTCTATCTTTTACTTCTCTTCACTATCAGTGAGCTTGCTTCTGATAGCCCCTGAAACACATTTGGTTTTCTATTTCTGATCTGTTGTGGATGGGAAATATTAATATTGAGATCACATATTGATAATGAATAATTACCTAACATTTTCTATTATTGCTATCTGAGTGAAAAATACTTAAAGTTATTTTTTCTGTAGAAAAAGTTCATGTTAGTAACTAGTAGGTTTTCTTAATAAATAAAAAATACTTTAAACATTAGTTTTAATA